GGGGCGAGGAGAAGTGAGAAGTGGTAGAATTTGAAAAGGGGGCGAGGAAGTAGGAAGTGTGAATGGTGACGGGGGTGTGGATTTGTGTATAAAATACACAAATGCCACGTTATGCAATCGTGACGAAAACACACGAATACAATCACAGTTTTGCACAGGCTCTGGGTTTGGATCGCTTCCATTCCAAACCTGCAGTCGTCTTTTTTGTCGTAAGTTTGAGACCCACAAAGTCCTGAATTCACATTTTTTTTTTAGCCGGCCCAATAAGACGCTAGAAAAATCTACTTCTCAGATTACTTCCCTTAGTTTTAGTTAGAGTTTTACCGCATCTGCAACGCAATTAGGTCATTTACATGCGAAGATCCGAAGCGAGTGGTTGGCGGGTGCTCTAGTGTGGTTTGCTCGGCCTTCTTTCCTATAAAAAAACTATCGTCTTTATCTCTCCTCCTTCTTTTTTATGTTTGTTACTCTCTTGTAACACCCCTAATCTTTAGCACTTATATGACCTTATTGTGTTGCAAGTGCCGTAAAACTCTTACTTTAAAAAAAAAGAAGATCTGAAGTGTCACAAGAAAGAAACAATACATGTTTGATAGAAAAGAAGGAGCAAACCACACCAGAGCATCCACCAATCGCCCACGATTACTTTCTGAGTAATATATCTCGACCAGTGAAATTAAACACCATCAGAGGCGGCCGTATGTCGTCACAATGGAAACCTTCCACAGTTTTTAGAGATATATACAGTAGTCATAAAATTAATGTGTAGGAAGCAACGTGAAAGTGATTGACCTCTCTCCCTTCCCCCCTTCCCTCCTTCTGTCTCTCTCTCTCTCTCTCTCTCTCTCTCTCTGTCTCTCTCTCTCTCTCTCTCTGTCTCTTTGTCTCCCCCCTCCCTCTCCCTTTTTACCTTTCCCCCCTCTCTCCCCTTCTCTCTGTCTCTCCCCCTGTTTCTCTGTCTCGCCCTCCATCACTCTATGCCCCTCCCTCCTCCATTGTCCCTCCCCCTACCTGCTTTATATTATCCTTCTCTCTTTGTTTCCCATTTCTTTCCATCTCGTTGCGGTATGTTTGTCTGTCTGTCAGGGTGCCAACCCTTTTAACAGAGATGTTCTCTAGCAGAAACAGAAGACCAATTTTTATTCGTGTTATGTTAGGCTTAGAGGCGTGATAATGCAAGTCGTTGACCTCATCTTTCTTGAGTGTTGAATAATAATCATCATTATTACTGTTATTATTATTATTATTATTATTATTATTATTATTATTGTTATTATTATTATTATTATTATTATTATTATTATTATTACAATTAATACAAGACATCTTTCCGCCTACCGCCGAGTACCCATTCCCACTTCATGAAGTGAGGAAAAATCATACAACATACCTCTACCAAGGACACAATTTTGGCCCCATGGCAGGATTCAAACCCATGACCTTTCTGTCACAAAGCACAAACGGCACTTCTGTCTTGCAAATTACTCCAAATTAGTCTTGAATTATGTACTCCAAATTATACATCTAGGATATACAGAGATCTAGATCTAGCGTCTAGCTCTAACAACCTACGCACCAAATACGTCCAAAATTTTGAAAACGTCAATACAACGAAGTAAACATTTTGCGGGTCTAAACGAACACAACGTGTTGGGGACATGACTATACCAAAGGTATCTAGAAAAAGTCAATCCGATTACAAAGAAGTTTGGCCTGAAGCATCCATCGACACTATGAGCACACATCCAAACAGAGTTGGATATCGAGATTCTAGTTCTGGAAGTAGTAGAAGCAGCTGTCTCACACAAATAAAGAAGCACGACCCGAAACGGAAGTAGTCCCCAGTAAAATATGAAATGGCTAATGGCAAAATGAAAAAATCCGAGAGCTTCGATTTACAGGAAAAACCATACAACCTGAAAACTCAATAGGTAGTCTTCGAACTTTGAAAATATGCCCACGTAACCGTTTTTGACAATTCTTAACAGAATCATATTTTCGTAGATTTTATGGGCATGTGTGTAAACAATGCATACTGACCTCACAAACGAGCTTAGCTCCATTATAATAAGATTATTATTATTGTTGTTATTGTGTCGATGCGCTTCTTTTTAGTCAACTCAAACAAAAGACTATAATAATATTATGCACCGTTCTGCGTGTCGCTCTTTACTCTCTGTAAAATCTTTACTGCCGAGAGTGCGCGCCAGGGGCTGTCGTGGCCAAGAGGTTAAGGTGTTCGCCTCTCATTCAATAGGTCCCGGGTTCGAGCCCGGAGAGCGACGGAAATTATTCTTTCTCTAAATTGTCTGCCTTCGCCTCCCTTTCTGCTCTCTAGCTATGTTCTGTCGTCTGCTTTCATGTCCACTTTCTGCCCCCACCTCCTTTGTCCCCTCCTCTGGGCTCCTGACTCTTTCGGCAGCCTTTCAACTGCTACTTCTTGGCTCCTTTTTTCTGTTATCTTTCAACCACACCCCTGATCTTCTGGTAGGAAAGATCTAAACCTAGTCTTCTCGGACAAGGGCGAAAATTCTCGGAGGTCCCGTGTGCAAGTTGGGCATGTTAAAGATCCCTTGGTGGTACAAAATCGATAAGAGTCGGCTTTGGCCGCCATCCGAGCAAAATTCAAACTTTCCTACCAACTGAAAATGTTAAATGTGTCCCCTGCGCTCATATTATGACCTCATACAGTTGTGAGCGCCGTAAAACACTTACCAGAAAAAAAGTGTATGCACCATGGCCCGCGCCATTACGTCCAAATGAAGGGCAATACTCCAGACTCGCTATTATAGTGGCGGGCGACTCTGTTCCCGTGTTCTGTTCTTTTGGCTCACATTGAGTCTTATATATCCTTGTTGGTGGTTGGCAGGTGCTCTGGTGTGGTTCTGTCCTTTCCTGTCAAACATGTATCCTCCTTTTTGTGCTTGTTACTCTCTTGTTACCCCTCTAATCTTCGGCACTTATATGATCTTATTGTGTTGCAAGTGCCATGAAACTCTCGCTGGAAAAAATTAAATTAAAAATCGTGTTATATCCTTTAATATGGGGGCTCTCGTGTCTTAGAGGTAAAGGTGTTTCCCTTTCATTCAAATGTGCCATGTTCGAATATGGGTAGCAACCGAAAAAAAAAAAAATTCTCTGAAATTTCCACCTTTCACCTCCTTTCCTGCTCTCTAGTGTTATTCTGTCTTCTGCTTTCGTCTCCACTTTCTGCCCCACCCCCTCACCTCCTTTGCCCTTTGCTCTGGGCTCCTGACTCTTTCTGCAGTCTTTCTACTGCTACTCCTTGGCTCCTTCTTTCAGCTGTCTTTCAGCCACACCCCTGATCTTCTTGTAGGAAAGATATACACTTAGCCTTCTCGGACAAGAGCAAACAAATCTCGGGGGTCCTGTGTGCAAGTTGGTCACGTTAAAGATCCCTTGGTGGTCTAAAATCAATAAGAGTCGGCTTCGGCCGCCACCCGGGCAAAATTCAAAGTTTCCTACCAACTGAAAATGTTAAATGAGTCCCTTGTGCCATACTATGCAGTTGTGAGCGTCGTAAAACGCTTACCAGAAAAAAGGTGTGCGCCATGGTCCGCGCCATTACATCCAAATGAAGGACAATACACCTGTCTCACGTGCGGGCAGCACTTTTCCCGTTGTCCGTTCATTTGGCTCACATTGAGTCTTAATATATTATTATACCCTCGTGGGTGGTTGGTAGGTGCTCTGGTGTGGTTAGCTCCTTTCCTTACAAACATGTATCCTCCTTTTTGTGCTTGTTACTCTCCTGTAAATCCTCTAATCTTCGGCACTTATATGACCTTATTGTGTTGCAAGTGCCATGAAACTCTCACTTGAAAAAACAAAACAAAAGTTATATCATATCCTTTAATTTTCCTTTTGTTTTGTGCAATGCCTCAAAGTCTTGTCCGGGGTCTTTTACCATACACTTTGTGCCCACAGTGTTTAGGAATTATTGTTAGAGCCCATTGCTTACACTTTCATGTATGTGCTGTGGATACACAGCTGTTTCTGTCATGTACAAAGTTTTAGTAAGAGTTTTATCGCACTTGCAACACAATAAAGACATATAAGTGCCGAATATTAGAATTAGTGTTACAAGAGAGAAACAAACACAAAAAGAAGGAGAGAGATAGGGACGGTAGCTGTTTAATAGAAAAGAAGGAGCAAACTACACCAAATCGTGAATTGAAAATGTTCAGAATTGGATGGTTGACAACAAACTAAAGATGAACGAGGAGAAAACAGATTTATTACTGTGTAACACCTAGAGGAAATTTTGAACTCAGCCGCTGTTATAATAATATCAGGGTATATTCTGAAAATGCTACTTTCAAACAATGTATCATTTATTGTTTATGTATATTTTCCATCCTGGTTACAGATCAGACGAAACCACAGACGATAACCTTGACCTCCACGACACCCAGTGACATCTGTATGACAACAAACAATGAACGTTCTGACTACCTCCAGTATGTCACACAATATGTTTGATTCCGCCCCCGGCGCCTGACGTTCTGATGGATGCCACGCCCACTGTGATCTACCCAATCCCCCTGATGCCCGAAGAAAACAGCTCCCCTCTGCACTGCACTGCGCATGCGTATCAAAAAGCCGCAGACATTTCCGGCACCATCATGGCGGTGGAATCTAGTTACGTCATCCAGCAGATCCTTATCTCCGCCCTTGTAGTGACTTGTTTTGTCTGCACCAAGACCTTCATGGACAACCTGCGCAGACGACATGCGCGTGTGTCTGTTGTTGTGGTGGGGGCGGGACCTGTGGGGCTGACGGCCATGTTGGTGGCTGCCCGGACGGGAAGGGTGTCCAGGATCATCCTGTATGAAGAACTCGGGAAACAGGTAGGAAGAAACGTGAAGGTGATTGACACCTCTCTCTCTCTCTCTCTCTCTCTCTCTCT